AAAAGATCTCTCATATTTATCCTTAGCCCATTGACAAAGGTATTAGAAATTAAGGATTTCAAGCCCATACACACTCTACCAATGGAGCAAGCACATATATATGTGTTCCATCACTATCATAAAAACCGCTTCATCCGTTTTCTCCCATTGTCATGGACTCCTGATCAGTGAAAATGCCATTATTAGTGGCCTCTCTGTCGTTGAAGGAGGAGGAGGCAAAAAAGCAGGTTATTCCGTAGCAGAGATGAAAGGGAGGCAAACGTGGCGAGGAAAAAAGAGAAAATGAAGGCACAACTGAAGCTAAATGAAGGAGCTTTGTATGTGGACTTGAATTCAACAACAAATGGTGTTAATTGCACAACATCAACCATTTTAGGGATCAACTGCTAACTTCCAAAGGCGAAAATGTTGATTGCTCATGGTTTTCTGTGAATTTTTAGGCTAGCCTATATTTCATGGAATTTATGATGGTTGTATTTCTGTTAGCGAGCTGTGGGATAATGTATGTGATAGGAGGGATAACAGGCCCAAGAAGGCATTAAAGGGGGCCAAGTAATGCATGAATCGCACCAACCCCAACAACAAGAAGAATGGACAGAAGAAAGGGAGGATAATCTAAGAAGAGGTAAACTTCCGGGGGCTTGGATTCATAGCATCAATTCCAAGAGTAGCATCCCAACAATTGCAAGAGACAGAGGATGAAAAAAGCATGCCAACGCACCAAACAACAAGCCAAGTGATCGCTTTTCACAATAGAAATCCCAAATCACCCTTCGGATCATGTTAGCTAAACTCACTCCAACCTTAAGCAAATACAAATGATTCCAAAGCCTGAAATAATTCAACTGATTCAGGATCGTTATTATTACCAGAAGACCAGAGCAAACAACTAGGAGCTGCCAGCGCATACAACTACTTCGAAAAGGGAATTTGCGAAGACCCATTCTCCTTCCTTTCAGCAATTTTGGTAATGAGAGACAAATGACATCTCGAAGAATGATGAAAGGAGTTTACTACTCTTACTGCCGTCAGCTAACCGTCGCGCGACTCAGCTCTCGGCCTTTAACTGTCGCAGCTAGGTCAGGGTAGAAAGCTCAAAGCAGCGCCGATGGTCGGAGCCACGAGTAGAATAACGTTTGCGTCGGAGAAAGCTAAGGGAATTTCTCAATGGCAATTATGTCTTGCTCTTTTTTTTTTTTGGCCAGAGCAATTTTGTCTTACTTCAGTACATAAATTTCTTACATAAATTATTTGTCTAATAAGCATTTCATTAATTTTAATTACTTTTTCCGTTTTAATAAGAACATTGGTATTGTTGAATGCTACATAAATTTAACTTATCATTTTCTGGCCAAGAAAAAAGTTAACTTATCATTTTGGTCCTTAGTTGTGATTCTCACCAGAGTAATTTTCATTATAATTGATTGCTCGGTTAAGGTGTATCCAAAAATCCGAAATATTTTCTCAGTGTATCTAACATTTTAAAATATTTTGTAGTACACCTAGTACTTTGAAATACTTTTTTAGATGTGTTCAGCACCATAAAGTATTTTTTGATGCATCAGAACCTAAAAATATTTTTTTGTGTATCCAGTACCAAGGGAAAAAAATATTTCAGGGTAATAGACACACCTAAAAAATACTCTGAAAAACTGGATGCATCACAAAATATTTCAGGATGCTAGACACATCTGAGAAAATATTTCAAACTACTGGATATATCTTAACACTTGATTGTTTTCCAATAAATGTATAATCATTGCATGGGAAAGGGTAAAAAGCAAGAAAATAGAAGATTTGAACACTACAATTTAAATTTGAAGATTGATGAGAATATAGAGAATTGACTCCGGCAACTCATTTCTTTTATCCAAACAAAAAGAATGAAGGACTAAAGAGACTAGAGAGGATGCACTGGAATTCTAAGCGCTGGGAACGCCAGTGGGCTTCAAAGCTTCCACTAAGCTCTCCACCAAACATTGTTCTCGAGCTTCTCTCTTTCGCTAACAAGTTTTGTTGCGAGAAGATGTTGTCTCCTTGTGATGCCCATTTAATTAGCATACCTGTGATTAGTGATATGGATGATGCATTGTTACTTATTGAACATGAATTAGAAGAGACTTCATATCTTCTAGTTGCAGCTTTGCTTGCGGGTGTTTCTTAAAGAGCTTCCCAGTTCGATCCATAGTTTATGAGGATTTTTTGTAGCCCAAAGGATAGAGAGATAGATTAGCTATGGCAAGTGTTTCTTGGATAGACTTTAATGGCAGGCAGCTTCTTTTCCAAGCTTCAGCACCTCCATTGCCAATTATATCTTGACGCACATCCAGTGAAGGTGCCGGTGCATATGTTGGAATTCCGCTTCAGAAACTCCTCATGAGGAACAGAGTAGAGCTTAATGGAAGCCTTGAAGCTCACCAATGACTGGAACTCCATTCTGTCATCTCCCGGTCCTTCAAACACGAGTAGTTGAGTCGGAGTCATATAGGATGAGTCATGATTGAGTTATGAATAACAAGGATGATAATATAAAAATTAAGAAAGGAACTGAATAATAAATAGGTCAAAAGTTCAGAAATAAGTTACAACAAGACATAATTGAAGAACTGAATTATGAGTGAGTTAAAAATTGAAAGATTAAAAGATTTATTTATTTTTATTTTTATTTTGATTTTATTGTGTTCTTTTTCATCCTTATCACTTCATGTTTGATTTGAAGCGTTTTAAAAAATTCCTCATTTAATTACTAAAGTTAAAGTTGCAACTATAAATAGCTCTGAACGGATGTTTAGGTAGAAATAAAAAGACAAAAGACAAATAAATACCACTTGAAATTTCAAATTTTAAAATAGTAACATGAATTTGCAAAATCACAAATCAATGCCCATGACTAAAATGGAATTGTAAAATATTCAGTAATTTCGCAATATTGTTTTTTATTTTATATATAAGAAAACCCAAACATCCACCATTGCTGACAACCCCGCCGCCGGTTGCCACCGAAGTCCAGCGCCTCTAGTAGCCGACGAAGCTCCATCGCAATAATTCTCACTAACAATATAATAATTCTCATTTACAAGTGGAGCTAGCATTTACAATAAGTCAGGGAGTTAGGATTTACAAATAAAATACAGGAATCAATAACTAAGATTAGGTGATTCACAAATATATATATATATATATATATATAGGACCTGTTTGTTTTTGTTCTTTGTTTTTTTTTCTTAAAACAATTTTATAAATTTTTTTTAGAACAAGTTTTGAAAACAAAAAAATAAAAGAATTTGTTTGGATAAAAAATTGTTTTAAAAATTGTGTTTTAAAAAAAACTATAAAAAACCATATTTGGTAGGTGATAATTATCGTTACTAATAATAAATGATGGATAGTAAGTTAGAAGAGAAGAAGATTTCTCAAAACTTTTCAAAACAAAAAATAAAAGCCACAAAAACAGAAACAAAAAAACATTTAAAAATTCTTTTGATTTTTTTGTTTTTAAAAACATGCTACTGTTTTTTGTTTTTTAAAACAATAAACTAAAAACAAATTACCAAACTAGTTTTTTTTGTTTTTCTGTTTTTAAAAATAAAAAATTATTTTCAAAACAAAAAACCAAACAAGCCCATAATCATTTACAATTAGAGTAATAGTAATGATCTCTTTCCACCCACAAAATCTAATTTCATTTCACTCCTGTGAAATTTCAGATTTTTCTGAAGGCACATAGAAATTAAGTAGCTATGAAGGGAGCCAAATGAAATTTTTCCTGAAAAATAAGAAATAGGATTAATATAATTTTCAGTTTCTTAAATTTGTCCTTATTTTAATTTTAGTCCTCAAATTTCTTTTCATTTAAAACATTAGTCCCTATAATTTAATAAAAACCCATATCATTTTACCTTTTTAGGAATAAGAACCTATCATTTAAAACTTAAGGAACCAAAATCAAAACAAGACAAATTTGAGAAAACAAAGATCATATTAACTCTAAGAAGTATAATTACATATCAAACCCTCCATGCAAGTGTGATTCTTGAATCTTGATGTATGCCAAAAAATAGATCAGAAAATAAATCTCGGTAAGCAATAGGTCATCGGGACAAAAGGATTGAAATATATGCTCAAAAAAAAAAAACAAACAAACAAAGGTTTGAAACCTATACTATAATCGATTGCTAAATAACTTCTAATTTCACATGGTATTGGCAGAAGAGGACCCTTGATCACTAGTTACTTCTCTAGAAGAAACAAACAAAACTAGTTTATTTACATACACGTACATCAGTTGTGTCCTGTCAGAATACATTTGATGGCTCGGGATGCAACTTGTGATGATGTATACATACCATTCACATGCTGGTTTGGATGGTAAATTCAGACCAGATGGTAATTTGAATCTTCTCAAGTGTTCAGCTGCTCAAATGAGGAGGGCAACAAAAGTAGTAGGGCCCACATATTCATGTGGGTTCCACATGAGTCTCACTTATCTTCAGGAGATTTAGCTCAATAAATATGAAACCCAGACCAGCCATTTTCACTCCATTGTTCAAGCAAAGAGAGCAATATAATGATAAGCATACCAACTATCAATCTCTTGAAGTATGAGAACCTTTTTTTTTTTAGCACTCTTGAAGTATAAGAACCTAAAGGTTTTTTTTTTGAAGTAAAAAAAAGAGATAAACACATAATAATTTAATATAAGTGCTTCCTCAACCTTTTTCTCGAGTTATTTGACGCTTTTCTATTTAACCAACAAGCATCAAACGTCAAACACACGAAATTCTGTAGTAGTATGTGTTTATTCCTCTTTTTACTTTGAGTAAAATTACTTTAGAAGATCCAAACATACTTACTTTTCAGTATGTGTGGGTTCCATGTGAGTCTTATTCTCCTTCTTTGCTTGAACAATTGAGATGATCCGAATACGATGAGGTGCTACAAGAGGATGCATACATGGCTTGGTAAAACAAGACAGAGAAGCCATTTTAACTCAATTAACTTCAAGCATTTATGGGGAAATTGATTTCATCAGACATTGCAGTTGAAGAACCAACTTCTGCTTCACTAGCATACGAAGAATAGAAATCATCATCGTGATCCTTCTCCCTCACTTCTTGAATTTTCTCAACCACTTCTTTTAAACTAAGTCTCTTATTAACATCATCTTCACAACAACACAAGGCAATCCTCAAAAGCTTCACCATCTCCCCTTCACTGTTCCTTGTTCCTCCCATTTCTTTATCCAAAACCTCACTGCTCCAATCTTCTGGCTCCACACATTTCACCCAACTAACCAAATCCATTTCTCCTCCTTTACCTGCAAATCTCCCACTCATTATCTCCAAAATTAGAACTCCAAGACTCCATATATCGCTCTTCTTTGTAATCTGACCCTCTTGGCTATACTCAGGTGACCTATAAATGACCATCATGTCTTGAGCAAGTTCTTGGTTCATTACTGGAACTAAGCCGTAGTCTGTTAAAAGGGGCTCATAAGATTGAGTAAGAAGAACATTTGAAGATTTAAGATGTCCGTGGGGTGCAACCAGGCTTGGTAGTTCCTTGTAGAGATATTCAAGACCTTTTGTGATTCCTTTCACAATCTTCAATCGGGTTGGCCAATCCAGGCCTGCCTTGCCTACATCTTGGGGTCCTAAAACCAAAAAGCGAAAAAAATCAAACAGTTTAAGCATTTTGCTTCCATGTTTAATGACTGGTTGTACAAAATTACATGCGTGCAATATGCCTATATCATTGCATAGATACGTGTTCATTCATCGGATTCAACAACTTGAAGAATTTTGCAGTGTAAACATAAATGTATTCTCCCGGTTCTAAACATAAGACCTATTGCTATAAAGTAGGTCTTATGTATAGGATTGGAGGAGTATAAAATAAAAGGAGAATTGCCATGAAATTCTAAAGAAGGAAAACAATAAAAAGTTCCAGTGTATAGAAAATGACAACTGCTCATTTATTATTGTAATTTTTTTTATAATTATTTTCTTTCTTTGGCATTTCATAGCAATTCTCTATAAAATTAATAAAATCTACAGTTTTCAACTCAAAATAAATGTTAATGATCATCTATATCTAAAGGATTAGGATCTTTTTTGGAGGCTCTAGACCTGCTTTTTGTAGCATTTCAGACAAAGAAAAGGTTAATTCAAAGATGTTAAAATATGTTACATATCTATACAGATGCATTATTTACTGAAGTATCGTGAAGTATAGATATACAGTTACATACATACCATGAAGTCGAAGTGCCAAGCTACCATTTTGAACATAGTCTGTGACCAACAGTTTCTCCTCCTTTCTGTAATAATAAGCCACTAGAGGAAGCAAGTTAGGGTGATCCAACCTTCCTATCCTCCTCATGTGTTCCTGAAACTCTTCCTTCCCGACGTTGTTCATTTGCTTAAACCTCTTCACCACCATCATTGAGTCATTTAACAAGGCAGCCTTGTAGGAAGAACTGAAGCTACCACTGCCCAAAATTTCAGCTGAGGCTCTTAGCAAGTCTTGTAAATCAAATCTCTCTCTATCTTTTCTAACAAAGCACAACTTCATGTTCTCTGATTTTTTGCTGTGGTTGGAAACTTGTGATGCTCTTGAGTGATTACTTCCTTCATCTACTTCCTTGAAACGAGTCTTCTTTCTCTGGCTTGATTGTGGATTCTCCACTGACTCTGCTGGCTGCCGCCTTTTTCTTCGACGGAGGAGAAAGATTAGTAACCCTATGATCATCACTGCCACGCCCACCGCTATGGCAATCACCACAATAGTGATGATTGAGGGGCTTTTGGAAGAACTACATGCACTCAATGGAGTTCCACATAAGCCTTCATTGCCTACATACTCATCATAAAAAAATTGAATCTCCTATTAATGAAAATTTAGTATTAGTAAAAAATGCTGGTGTAACTTAAATTTATGCAATATTCGATTTTGGTGTCTCTTCCTTATCAGCATGGATTTGATTGTAACCCGTAGAATTAAGCCATAGAATTTGACACAAACTAGATGCAAGAAAGGACAACGCAGTGTCACCCAAATTTTGGGGGGGGGGGGGGGGGAAGGACAACGCACGCAACCTTATTCCTCAAGAAACATGACAACGTAAACATTTGACTAAATTATTTAAGTTTACATCTTCTAATTTTTTTTTTAGTAAAGTTCCTGTGGAGTTCAAAGAGAAGCAAGAAAGAGAAAAACATGTGAAAAAAGTTGAGTGTGAGAAAAAAGGCCCAAGCTTCAGTCCAATTTTTTATTCTAACTTGTCCAAATACATATAAAATAAGCCTATTTTGTGAAAGATCATCATACACCATTTTACCATAACTCAAACCTGAGATAAAGAGGTAGAGGGTGATCCTATTTTTATGCAGCAGAGCCTTTTTTTCTAAAAAAACCAGACAATACAAGTATTTTGACTGATTATTTCTAGTTTATGTCTTTTAAAATTTGTTATAGTAAAGCTTCTATGGAGTTCAAAGAGAGAGGGAATGAAAGCTGAGGTTGAGAAAAATTGATCAAACTTCTCTCCAGTTTGTGCACATAAAAGTTGACCAACTTTACATAAACCCAGACCATAACTCCAACTTAAAACAAAATGAAGTAATTCTTGTTAGAGCACAATGTTTCAGTCCAACAAGATTAAGTCATAGCCCAATACCTTACTTAGTATGTATTCTAAAATGATGGATTTAAGGTTACATGTATAGTCACTCTTCCCTATGACACACGTATAGCACATTACAAGCTCCTTCTTGTCTTTAAAAGAGATACAAAAACCTAAATGATTGTAATTAATGAATAAATCCATTGCACAAATAGTTGGCCAAAAAAAAATCCATTGCACTAATAAAATTTTTAGGTCGGTACATAAAGACTAGAAGGAGCAAGTGTCCGTGTTACATACGTGTTGCACAATGCTAAAAGATTTCAAGTCCTCCTGTAGAAAATTGGGGATTCGGCCGCTGAATTTGTTTCCCTCTAATCTCAACTCCATAAGCTTAGGTAACATGGTCAATGAAGTGGGAATTTGACCAGAAAACTGATTATTCGCCAAATGAACTTTCTTCAACCAATTCATACTCTGAAAAGTCTGAGCAGGAATGTCTCCGTAAAACTTATTATTCGAAAGATAAAAGGTCTTGATAGCCGCTAGCTTGTTCAGTTCTGGCCAAGTACTATGGAAGTCATTGTTGATGAAGCTTAGGGTTCTGAGATCAGGCAACTGTTGAAGAGCATCCACATTAATAAGACCTTTCAGTCCCATATTCTCAAGTATCAAGCCCGAGATTTTGCCTTCTTTTGTACAGGTAACTCCAACCCAATTGGACCGGTCACCGAAACACGGCGGCGAAATAGATGTATTCCAATTGGAAAACGTAGTACTGTTGTTTCCGTATTCCAACGAGTCCCTAAACTTGAGCAGCAGTTCTGGTTCTGAAGAACCAAAACAGGAGGGAACATTAACGCCATGTAAGAAGAGAATCATTAATATGACCACTGAAAAACATGAATTAGAATAAGTTGCAATACCACAAAGTGCCATTAATGATGGTGATTAATCAACAAATTAGGGGTTTTTGGCACATGGCACAAATTAAGGTACCTCAGATCGATCGATCTACTTAACCTGGAGGAATTAGCACAAAGATTGATCGATCGGAGGAGATACAGAAACAAGGAAGGGGGTGGTGGTGGTTGGGGATCGATGGATGAATGTTACGTGGGATAATGGAGAGTGAGGTATTGACCAAGTCCTTCATTTCCTTCTCGTTTGTATGAGAATGTGTATGTGTTGTCTTCTATACTATCAGAAATCTTCGGATAGCCTTTAATATTGCATGCAGTTCGTCACAACGAAGATGATACCTTTTTGCTATTTTTGATGGATACTGTTAGCAAAATTAGCGACTAGACTTTATTTTTTTTAATTATTATTCCTTTTTTCTTAACATGTAAATATCACTATTAATTAATAATTTAATATAAATGATCAATTTCGTTGGCAATATATATATTTATATAAACGATCAATCATTCATCAGTTATATAGAAATTATTAAGGTATGTTTGAGGGCTATAGAAATTATTTAAAGTGAAGAAGCCCTTGGCCAAACAGCCTATTTTCAAGGCATACTCCTTTGTTCTTATTTATAGTATAAAGAGAAAATTTTTTCATGTGAATGTACTTCTTCGGCCCTAAATATAAGACCCACTTGTAATGTAATTTGGGTCTTATATTTAGGACCAAAGGAGTATAATTTTACGCTTCATTTAATATTATGTTGATTTTATTCTCATAAGGTATAATGGATATTAAAATAGAGATAGAATTGAAAAGTTATTGAATTTTAAAAGAGGGTTAATAAAATTTAATATTTTTATTGATCTTTGTGAAATATATTGAAAATAACGTATAAATAGGATTAAATGAATATTATAAGAAAATAAATGAGTAACACCAGGAAAACAGGCTAATCTTTCACAGGCCGCAGGTTTAAATAGGTTGGCTTATTTAACTTGAATTTGAAAAAGTAATCGTTCTACAAAGCCCAGTTCTTATATAAGCAACCCTTAAATTTTCATATGTATGAGTTGTTATTTTTATATTATCCGTTATAAATCTCTATGCGTAGAGTTGTTATTTTTCCATTTTTTATAATTTTTCTATTTTTTGTTGGCATTTGCAATTTGCTTTATGTTGTCTATTTCTTTTTTCACGAGCCAAGCTACTTCTGTCATTTTACTTTCAAACTTAATTTTATTTTTATCCCAATAAGTAATAATAATATTTCTGAATTCTTTAGGCCTTACTTTTAATAAAGACCCTTTTGTGGCACTTAAGTGAGATTTTATCTTTTTATTTTCTGCTATTGCCCTAGCTTTCTATTCCTACCTTGTATATACAAATACAAGCACTCATTGTGTGTTAGTTCTTTCTATATGGATTTGTTCTCCATTTATATTATGCTCTATTTTCTTTTTCCTGTTTTTGTTATCTTTAGTAGATTTTAATGCTCAACTTCACTCTGTTAAGGTTATCGACCAAGGTATTAAAAACCGGATTGGCAATTGAACAGGTCAAGACAATGGGTCAAGGGTCAGTGGGTCAGACCGGACTCAAACCGGTGAGAAATAAAAAAAAAATTTAAATGGTCACTAAGAATTAGATATCAATTTAATATCTTGAATTACTAGTAAAATAATTACATTCTTACAATTTCTTATAATATCATACTACTAAAATCACTAAATATTCATCCCAACAAAATATCAAAATGGATATATGATAATAAAATATTTCTCCTTATAATTACTCAATCACTAAGTCCGAATTATCAACAGCTTTTAAAAAAAATCATCAAAATATTTTTTTTTTTTAAAAAAGGGGAGACCGGGTTGATTTACCAAACCGGGCGGGTTACCCCAGTTCAGTCCGGGTCACCCCGGTTCAGGTTGGGTCACACCAAGTCACACAGTAACCTGGTTCACAGCTTAACCGGACCGGTTTCCTGGCCGGTTCACCGGTTTCCGGTCTGAATCGACCGGTCCGGTCCGGTTTTCAATACAATGTTATTGACACACTCCATGCGCAGCTTGTTAGTTTTGGTGGTGTTACAATTGGTTCAAGATGGGACTAAAGCGCTTTAGCTAATCTTTGAAATAATACCAGCACTGTGTTTCCTTTTTTTTTTTCCTCCCCTTTACAATATCTTGTTTTCTTGTTTTAATGATGGGCTGGTCTTTTGCTCTAATTTATTTGAGCTTTGCTTAACGGGTCAGTCTTTTATGTGTCATCTTTTTATTTAGTTTTAATAAAATTTTGTATTAATAAATAAAAAATATAGACACTCATGATATGGTTGAATGACCTACACAATAAGTTGGCAAAAATAAGTGATGTACACAATAGAGCGATTTAATATAAATGAATATTTCCAATATTTTTAATCACTTTTACTTAGTGATCATAACACGAACACTCCATTGACACATCTTATATCATTTTTCCTTCCAACTGAATGAATACAGATGAAGAAAATTCAACTCACCAAGTTATGGGAGAGAGTATTGTTGCAGATGGGTCTGCAAATGCATACTACAAGGATTTATAACCAAGATATTCGTTACGTTTAAGGTTTTTTTGGAATCAACATCTTACATTCTCCACGAGAATCTTCTATTGATGTTTTAATCAGTTATATTAAAAAGTACTAAAAAATAATAGATTTGGAAGACAAAATAAATCAAAACAAAGCATTTTTTTTTGTTACAAAAATTTTAGGCAAGGGTTCGAGCTCAACACAAACCAAGGGCAGGGCGTTTGAATGATTCTTTCTGGGTGATACTAATATTGGGCAGGGTGATACTGATGTGTATAAATATGAATTTAACAAAACCATATAAAGAACAAATTATTTATTTCCTATATTTACCTAGATTTACTAGTGTGATACCGACCTCCCACTGCAAAACCAAAAAAAAAACCTGATTCATGCCCTGACATTCTTAAGATGATGTTGAACCGGGAATTTGGTAGTATGATGCAGAAGTAGTGTATGCTACTATATCTTCTGATGGGAGTTGTTGGCCAAAATCAATTTTAATTATCAAAGTCTTGTGTTATTCTACATGATCAAAACCAGTTATTGAATGAGTACTGATAAAATGTAAACAAAGTCTTGTGTTAATTGTTTTATTACTTATTTATTAGTTCTGATATTTATATTGTGTTTTATTTGACATAGTATTTATGTCCAATGGATATTTCTAATGATTTAGTCTATAGATATATCTTGACCACATAAATTTGGAAGGAAGCATGGTGAAAAGGGAAGGAAAGAAGAAAGCGGGGAATAAGGTCACTAGATTATATTTGTTTAAACAAGATTATTGGTCAGACAAAAAAAAAAGGCAAGTTTAACACAATGCAAAAAGCTGATGAAAATGCTACGAAGACATGGAAGAAGTTATTAAAGAAAAAGAAGAGAGGATATATAAGAAAAGTAAAGGAGGAAAGAGATTGAAATGTTGGTCCCTCTTCCATTAAAATTAAAGAAGGAGAGTTGCAAACACGATGCTCGCCGAAACAATTTGTAGAAGCGGCAGAGCATATGAGAAAGAATGAAAGGCTGAGGGCCAAGGCTAATGAAATTGGCTTTAGTCAGATATTACAAGTTACTTGCACAAAGATATATCATGCACAGATAAAGTCCAATTTTTATAAATTTTATCCCACATTAATTTAGAATTTAAATGATAATTTGAGCTTAATTGGATTAATTAGTTGATTTTTGGATTTTGCATAAAAATTGAGATTTTGGATTAAAAATATAGATATTTTGTGATTTCCTATTTTTGACTTGGAATTAATTTTTTTCTATTTCTTTGGAAACAAGTCTCATATTTTTAGAAAGATTATTTTTAGAAAGTTTTGCAATTTCTTACCTAATTTTTGTGCATATCTGATATTTAATTTTTGATTATATTTAGATATATTCTACATTAATGGATGCACTTAAATTCTTGTAGGCCAAGAAAGAGCATATAGGAAATTCAATGGTGCAAGATTATTTCTTGAGATTTAAGCACAATCCAATGGCTAATATCAAGTGGGCCAATTAATTACTAATGAGCTTGAGTTTTGGATCCATAAAAATTTCCTTTTCTCCCATCAAAATAATCCCTCCAGGCATGCCTAAATCACACTTGCCTTCTCCATTCAGACCCGACTAGCATCATCCATCGTCAATCACTTCCTTCATCCCATATTCACGCCTTCTCTCAGACTTGCTTCATTCCACGGTCACAAGGGGAGAAAACGCGTCCTTGACTTCCGAAACAATATTCCTCTAGTCTCACGTCTCTCATTTTCCATTTCATATTCATCCAACAATTATTATCACCTCTCATCATCATCAATTAACGTCTCTTCCTTGGCCAAATTCTCATCTACACCTCATCATTCATGGCTATGGCATCTAACAACTTTGGAGGAGGAGACATTTTTTATGGCAGCTTAAGCTTGTTAGGGAGGCAACTTGGGAGAAGCATGGAGGAGACTTGAGTCTTGGGCTAGCACTTGAAGACCAAAAGGGAGTGATGTTCCATTTATCTTTTTAATTCAAGGACTTGAGATTATTTAGTTTTAAATAATTTTAAGTTGTGATTTTGTGAGACAATTTAATTCTATATTGTCATTTTTATTCTTGGATTGGATTGATATTTGGATTTTATTTGTGTTGAGACACTTGCTGGAATTTATGTTTATGAACCTTTGCATTGTTAATTGAATTTATAATTGAGTTTTCATTATGAGTTTAATTATCAATGTAGTTTGAATTGTAAAATTTAGGTTCTTTTACCTCTTAATTGTTTAATTAAGTTGGTTAATTGTCTGATTGTTTAATTGGATAATTTCAAACATAATTTCTAGAATTAATTTAAATTATTTTAATTGGTTTTAATAAGCTTAATTAGCCATCCTTACACTGTTATGAGTTCTCTAATGGTTTAAGGGTTTTGAAATTGAAGGTTTCCTTTATT